TGTCCTTAGCTTCTTTTTTTTTTTTTTTTTGTCTTTTGAAAAGCCTAATGAGTATTAAATTCTGTTAAATGCCAATCTAGACAGATAGGCAGTAGAGGAAATTTGCATCTGATTCTTTTTTTATTCTCAATATGATGAGATGTTTGTGATGGGTGGTATTCTAAATCCAAGAGTCTTGCTTGGCTTTCTAATTAGTTCTGGAGGTTTGAGCAAGGAAGGTGTTAATTACCGAAGACAATGCTCCGTCACTAATACTGCAGAAGAATTACTCTACAGTGTTATAGTGGAAAAGAGGAATATTTCATTAAAATGTTAAAAGTACTGTTATCTTAATGACAATTTGCATACTTTGTATGTGGCATTGTTACTGTATTTCAGGTCTTATGTCAGTACAGGTGGACGAGAGCGAGTGAGGATCTGGTTGCTTAGAATTTGTAAGAATGTACCTAACTTATTTTTTGTGCATGAAAAAAAGATGCGCACGATGAAGCACGAAGCCATTTTCAGTTGTACCCAGATCTGTACATAGCCAGTCCTTTGTAGTTAAGAGAAGCATCATCATGGTTTTGGCCATTTGGTGCAGGGAGCCAGAATCTTTCATTTGTTTGTTTTTGTACAAATCTTCTGTCACATTAACAAGCAGTGCTGGTCCCTAGCGTGCCTTTTGTAAAGGAGTAGTAGCTGTTTCTAGGAGCAAAAGTATAGCTGTTCCCATTTTCAGTTTGGCATTGAATATTTATTAACAGCCTATCGCAAATGCCAGTTTCTTTTTTAATTGGCAGGAGGTTGAGCAGCTTGACTTGCTCAAAGAAATCAGTGGGGGATGTGGGAGTGAAAAGCGATAGAGATCCTTGCTTCGGTCAGGTGAAGTATTTTCAGCAGAGTTCAGGGAAGCGTTAAGGTGATTGTTCAAGGATGAACAGGATTTCGTTTGGAATCATGTCACCTAACCTCAAGAAGAACGATGGGGTATGTATTTCAGTTTGTATAAGATAACAAGACTAGGTTTGGTGATCCAAGCGGTCTTTACTTCCTCTTTTTCCAGTGTTCCAAATAATCTGCTGGAAACCAAGATGTTTTTTCCCCCCTCTTCTTTTATTCCCCTTTCTTTTATTCTAGCAACTGTGTCTTTCAGAAGCTTTGCCTAGAAGTCCTGGTTAACAACTTGCTCTGAGTTTAGGAGAGGAGATCGTGCAGGACGCAGGCGAGAGTACTTAGGGGATTGGTAAACAGAAGGTCATGGGAGTTACAGAAAGAAAGGGCGTATCCACAGATGAGCACACTGGCTTTAACTGGTCCTGCCCCAGCTTATGTCCGCTGGTTTTGAGCAGGCATTACAGTGTTTTCCATCGCCACTGGACCTGCTGTAGTCAGTGGAGAAGCAAGTTTCTGGAGGAGTTGTAGCCGCCCACGCAGAGTGACGAAACAGAGCCATGGTTTTACAGGGCCTCTGTGGTTGCGTTGGAGCTTGGCTGTCTGCTCTTTTGGCCTGGCTCTTTTGGCAGGGTCTGGAAATCTGATTTCGTGTTTCTTAACGCGTTTGCAAGCGCAGCCTCCTTTGAGCTCGTCTGTGGTCACGCAGTGGCCTTCACCTTTGCGTTTAATTGCTGCTCGTGAGTGCTTTCTGCAGTGATTCACTGTTTCTCCAGGAACAAGGCGTGAGAACTCGCAGTATTTGTGAGCGTTACAGGAGTTTCCCATTTCCTTGTGAAAGGCCCCTTTTCCCCGCTCTGAACTTTCCCTTGAACTCCTCAGAAGATTCTGAACAACAGTTGGAGAAATGCCAGGGTGTGCTAGTTCATAAATAGCAAGAAGATTTGCAATCAGTGTCAAAACGGATTGAAAGTGTCTATATAGAAAAAAGAAATTAGTAGATGAGTTGCATATATTTAAATTAACGGGTTCCTATCTCATAGCTCACAAAAATTGATGTAAAATGTGTGGTGTCAAGAATGTAATGGTCTCAAAAATCAGTTACAGAATAATCATTTTTCTTACTACTTGAATTTTAATCAATCCATCAAGTGCAATCACGTTTGTGTAGCCTGCCATCCCCAACTGCTGGGTGCTCGTTATTGTCGAACTTCTTTTGCCAGTTCATGACTGTGAATTCAATATCTGTTTTTTTGCACAATCTAGATACCGTGGAGAAGGGATAATTAAGGAAGTCCCTAGTAAAATTATTCCTTTTATGTATCTTCCTGAATATCGAAACAAATGGGACAAAGCATTGCAATCTTACAAGCTGTTAGAAAGGATTGACCAGGTAATATGATAATTTAATAAAAGATTTTAAGTCTTTCTGCATTAATTTTGGTGACTAAAAACACCTCTACTTGAGCGAAGAAAGCTCTCAATGCAAAATGCAGCGAGGGTCAGTAAAAACTTCTCAAGCTGCTGCTTATGTGATGTGGGTGTGAAACATGTCCTTCCCTGGGTCTCCTGGAGTCGTGCAGATGTGACGACGTAGTGGTGCACCCCACCGTGTCGTCTTTGCCTTTTTTTTTTTTTTGGAACTGGTTTAGTTTAACAGACGACAGGTCTGTGTCCTAGAACTTAATGTGCATTTTAATGCAAACAGGTGTTCTAGCTGTGCTAAGTGTGCCCATTTTGGGGTTTTGCCCAAGGAAAGGCGGCGAGTCCCCACCCTGTGTTACTGGGAGTTCCCTTTCGTGGCTCTCACGGTAGTTGAGCACTAAGTTGTGAGAACTGTTGTCCTACACTAACAGAGGAATGCGTTTTTGCCAGACATTCATTATTCAACCTGTAATGCTGCTTTGCCAATATAATTAAAACTTGGCTTCTTGCATACTAATTCAAAAAATTACTGTTACTGCCTTGTAGGACACTGGTATATACCACAGTGTAACACACAGTTACGGGATGGGGCTGATTTCATCAAGAGATTTTGTTGACCTGCTGCATGTTAAACCGTACCCCGGCGATATCCTTACAACTAACTGTAAGTTGTGGGTAACGACCGCCGGTTTGCTTATTTTGGGCTGCATTCTGGAAATCCTGAGGGGAATGGCTGCAGAGTAAGTTCTGCAGCCCCATCGCAGTATGGAGTGCCTCACTCTGTGAGCGGGCTGCTGGTCTTAACAGTCCCCTCGTGGTTATCCCCAAAACAAGGTGGGGTGAGGTGGTTTGTTTTTTTTTTTAATACTGAGAGTATCAAAATCACCTCTTTGAGGTTGGCTCTGTAAACTTACTCAAAATGTAAAATGATTAAGATACGGCCAACGAGGAAAATACGCCCTGCTACTTCATTTCTCCTTTCTGTGGATCTTAGTACGTGGCAGAAAACAGCATTTTTCATCTTGGAACTTTACTCACCTATCAGTAGTTTTCAAGCCATATTCTTACAAGACTTTATGACGCAAAAGCAATGGGTAACTAACCAAAACACCCCCTCCCAACTGCTGCTGTGCACGCGCGCAGCCGTTTCCTCATCTCTGTGATCGCCTTTACTAATTAATGACAGCTGCTGACAAACTGACTTCTTTGTCCAGAACTAAGCCACACCTCAGCGCTTAATCTCATCTCGAGAATAATACTTTTGGGTATGCCTGCCCAAACGTCTATAGAAATTGTTACGTGTAGTGAATCACTTGCACAAATATTTAAAGTCCTTCAGGCGTTCTGCGCGCCGAAGGGAACGCTCAACCCATCGGTGACCATATTGCGAGATCTCATACTATCCTACAGCAGTTGGTTTTAAAAGGAATTTTGGAGCTGTATGATTGGCATAGATAAACAGAATTATTTTGATTTTGCTTTTTGTGGGTGGTGACGTACAGCTGTCAGCGTGGAGTACTCCAGCTGCCCTCCAACCCCCTCTTGTGTCCGAGGCTACAACAATCCCTGCGGATACGTGTGTTCACCTTTGCCTGAGTAAGTATTTACAGCCCCCCTACATTGGTGTCTGGGGTTACTCAGTTGTCTTCTCTATACACAGCTTAAAAGTGATTGAACCACACCCCTTTTTTAAAAATTTTATTTAGACAGTTTTATTCTGGGGAAATTTTAATGTGACTTAAGACTTTATACATCCCGCACTTTTCTGTACCAGTAATTTCAACAGAGATGGACTCTTAAATTGTAAACGTTTGTACATCTCTGTAAGTTTCGTAGCAAGTGTTAACTGAAGGATTTTGCTCCTTTCCTCACAGGAATCCAGAGCATTCTAAGCTAGTTGTATTTATTCAGCCAGAACTAGGAGGAATGCTCCCAGGTTCTCTCGTGGAGACAGCATTACCTACCACTCTCATAAACTTAATCACCGAAACGAGAGCCGGATTGAAAGGCTTGAAAGACCATAATTAAATGTAAGTGGAAAATAATAAGCACTTAAGTCACACGCATCTCTTACTCGGATTCATTTTTAAAGTAGACGATGAAGTTTATTTCAATTGTGGTTTATGTGGTAATACGTACAGCGTAACTGTCAAAATGGGGAATGATGATTTTTGTCTGTTCTTGGGAATGATGCAAGAATTGAAGTGCCATCAAAGCACAGGATGTCACTTCCAATGTAATCAGGGGATGTTGTGCAGTATTTTTGCACTTTATATGCAGAGAATATATATACACACCTATAAGAATGTGGTGTTAAAATCCCGTAGTCCAATATTTTGCCATAGCTTTAAACACACTCTGATAATTCTTACCTCAACGATGTACTCTTGACCGCAACAAGCAAAGATCTTGTGTACTAGAGACTTTAAACATGTTTATTAAGTGTTCACGTGTAATTAGCAACTATTTCACTGGTTTGGAATGAAATATTTGAGCAAAAGCCTGATGGATTTGTATAGAGCATCTCATTAAAAGCTGCTTTTTATACATGGAGTTGGTTGGCTGTCATTTTCTGAATCCTCAGCATCAAACCTAAACAAAATATGTTTGTAACATTCACGTCGTTACAACTGATAGTAAATTTTCACAACTAAAGTGCCTTCAAGTGCAGATTCTTAGGGCGTCCTAACAGAAAAAATGTTTCACTGCGGTTTAAAATATCTGAGCAAACTGTTAGACTCTGATAAACATGGAGCTGTACTCCTCCTTCCTTTATTTGTTTTAGGCTTTTCAGGGGGTTTATCCGTAGACGTTTGGGACACAGGCTCCTGCCTCCTCCATTCAGCTAAGAGTTCCTTCTGCACATCTGCAGGTAGTTCGTAAAAAGTCTCTGCGTCAACATTAGGAGGCAACACGATTCCTGCTTGCCTGGTGCAGGGCTCGTCCTCAGGAGCTGGTTCAGAGCCCCGCTTATCTTCATCCATGACAGCCACATGCACAACAGCTCGGCTGCCTCCAGCTTCTGCAGACGACAGATCTCTCCCTCTGAAGTTCAGAGAGTCAGGGGCTTGTTTTTCCATGCTGCTGCTTGGTGATGCGCTTCCGAGCCCCTCAGAAGAACGACTGGCCCCGGAGCCGTGTGTCGGAACAGCCGCAGGTTCGGGAGCTGACGCGAGACGTACGCTGCAGCCGGCAGAGCCCCTGTCGCTGTTCAGTCCCTTGGAGCTCGGGGAGGGGCGGTGTGCCTCCTCTGCAGAACGCGCCACTGGCTGGCCCGAAACGCTCGCGGGAGGGATCACTCTGGGGTTTGCAGAAATAATTTCTTTTTGAATATCTGCTGGAAGTTCCCGGAAGACGTCCTGGTCAATGTCACCAAAATGACATGGAATTCCTGCTTTTTTTATACTGCTTTGCTTTTCCTCTGAGAGTCTCCTAGTTTTTGTGGCTCCAGTTCGGTTGCAGTTCTGGTTCCAAGAAGCACTTCCCTCACCTTGTGAGACGCCTTCCTCTTCCTGTGACAAAAACAGTACATAAAAGTTTATGTTCCATGTAATCTACTAGTGCCATTCTACTAACAGCAACTTCTTCAAATTATTAACAGATCAATAATTTATTTTTTCCTTATCATCAGTAAGTGTTTTTTTAAATCTTATTTTCAAACATAAACCTTAAAAAGTCAGAATCCTTTTCTTATTTTAAAATAGCAAATACCTTGAAGTTACATTTTATTGCTTTAAAACTCCGTGGAGCTTTAGAATACGCAATACGATGTTATCCCTCCTATTCCTGAGCAGCTGAGGAACAGACAACTTTATCGATGTGCAAAATTGCTATGTCAAGACAGAAAACAGTAAATCCATTAGACAACATCATTTCTGAAGTTACTAAGTTTTTGGTTTATGTACTGAAAGCATCTTATGGACATACTTTGCAGCGTTTCCCCAGACAGCTCCTACACTAGCATGTGCAGAGATTAGTTCCACTCTGAGCAGGAATTAGTGCCCAATACAGAACTGAATCTTTGATTAATTTCTAGTCTGAACAGGCAGACTTGTGAATGCATAGGAAGGTAAACAGCCACTGGGAAAGTACCTTAATAAAAGCAGCAAGGTCAATGATAAGCAACTTTCAGGAGACAGTAGTCTATGGTATTGTTGTACCAAAGCATCTTTTACCTAAGGGGCGTGTTGTTTCACAAGTGCTAAGTAAAGGGCAGATCTTGCTGCAAGGAACAGCCAAACTCAGCCATTATTTTTGAGAAGACAGATACAGTTTTCAGTATCTTTCAGCTTACCCGGACACGTTTACCAGAGCCTGATGGTGGTGACATCTGCTTTAGATAGAAACCAATTGATCCTTTCTTGCTGCTAGGAAGATCTTTGAGGTTGGAGAAGCAGACGCTCAGGAGGGTCAGATGAAATGGTAGATCTACATCTATCATCTTTCGAAAGAGTTTCATTAGTAGATCAACCAACGGGGGTATCACGTTGCTGCTTTCTAGAAGAAAAAAGGATGAAAAGAAGCAATGTATATAATCAAAATAACTATTTTCCTTAGTATACACTAAGGAAACCTTTATTCATCTCAAAACGTGAATTCCTGAAGTATTAACCTCTAAACACTGCAAAAAGCTTCCAAAATCCGCCAATGGATTAAGATGTTCATTGTGCCTTGGCCTGAACTAAGTAACAGGCTGGTTTTTCCCCCTCCAGTAAAAATGCTTCATTTCACACCTGTGAAGGTGACTTTATAGTCTGTGCTGTAAGAAGAATTGCAAAATACACGCCAAGCTGAACAGATTTGAAAAAGGATCCAATTCTACCACCGAGGGCGTGCGCAGAGCCGCCTAGGTGTGTGATGTTACCCCAGCACAGGTTTAGTGGAGTTTGTGTGACCACATGAGCTGGCAGTAATCGTTAGTCTCCTCTATTGTAAAAGTCCAGTAGCAATTTTGAAGCAGCGCCCAGTCGCCCCTTCCCACCCCACCAGGAAATTCACTGTGAGGAATCCAAGCAGGCTGGGTTAAAACCTGGTAGTAACGTCGAAGTTATTCCTACAGTGAAGTTCTAGATGACTTTAGCACATCTCATCAAAATACAGCCAAGCAATGGGGAAGTTTCCAATTATTAAACGTAGGGAATATTATTCTGAAATTAAGTAATGGAGTTTTACAGAGAAGTTTGGTGCACAAAGTTAATAATTGCACAAATTCTCAGTTTACCTTTTCCAAATTTCTGGATGAGATGAGGCGGAATAGGACACTGACGACTCTCCCGATTAAACCATTTATCGGTTGAGGAGAACTGGCGTATGCTCAGTCTTACAGTGTGCGGTTGTCTTCCGTCTTTGTGTATCCTACGGAGCACGGACGGGCAAAAAGGAGTAAGGAACTGTGCTAAATATGTGATGTCCGACCGGAGCAACAGAGAAGGATCAGCAAGTGGAATGTGCAAAGAACCTTATCCATGAAGCTGCACAGGAATGGAAGGGCTGGCAGGCAGCCTGGGGGCAGGACAAAAGACGGGGGCAAGAGGAAAGTGGGGCAGTACAGCAGGACAATCCACGAATTGAGGAAAAAAAAAAAAAAAAAGACCAAAAAGACAAACCTAACACACGCTCCAAGTCCCTTCAGGTCACAATTTCAGTCAGGGAAAAGAGCTACTGAAGACAGTCACCTGTCTAATAGGTTAGGAAGCAGTTCTTCAATTTTCTCTTTAACTTCTACTTCTGTGGAACACTTTTTAAAGGAGTCTTCATCACTAAAGGACTAAAAAAAAAAAACCCATGTTAGTCCTTTCAGTTTTATATTTACTCTAAAATACTGAAGAGGAAAAAATGTATCGCAATTAGGTGTGTAGAATTAACACCAAGATATCTTCGACACTCAGAATTTCAGGAGCATTACACATTGAGCTACAAAAATGCATCATTTTGCTTAGTCCAGCAAAGCTATATAAAACTAAAAGCAGGGTTTTGCCTGTTATACACAATACTCGTACCTGAGGAGGGCCTGACGGAGTCACAGGGGAGTCATCTTCGCCGTAGCTGAGTTTCTGGATACGGTGAGCAACAGAAACACCTAGTTCCTTCTCTAACACAGCAGATGGAAACACCTGGAGATCACACACGTTCTTAACACCCAGCGTTTCAAGACGTTTGGTAGTTTTGTAGCCAATGCCTAAAGAAAATATGTATCAAGAACACAAAGAAAAGTGAAAAAAAAAACCCAAAACATACCTATAAAAAATGCCCACCCATGTAGTAATGACAATTATTTTCACTCCTGCAATGCTGGCTTTTCAGCAACATTTTTGGTGAGTTCCCATTCAAGTTTTAGAATCTGCCATTAGACGATCCATACTGGGACACAGCAAAGGTCTGCCTGCGTTGGTGCTTCCTGGCCAACAGCACAGCGGAATAATTAGGAAAAGGATTTCCTCGGAGTACTCTGTCAGGCTCCAACGCTCTGGTTTACTAACTGTCGGTAGTAGCGAGTTTAAAAAAGTTCATATTTGAAACCTACTCTCAACCACAACATCTGGGCTTCAAAAAATGGAGATTTTAGTATTTTTGAAGGTCTCTTGTCAAGCGCTGCAACACATTTAGGCCACAACCAAGAATTAAGAAAAAACAAAGTCCTTTCATGCCTTCTGCTAAACAAAACAGCTTCTGAAAAAAAAAAAAAGAAAGGACCCTGAGCACACACCTGCACAGCCTGCAGCCTGCGAGAAGGAGATTTTAAAATTATTTCAGCTATCATTTTTTCAGTGTTTTTTCTTGGCAATATGTTCTCCATCTATGCTCACAGCACTGTGCTTACCAGGCACTTTTTGGATGCGATCAAGGCTGCCGATTAGATCTCGCCAGCTTTCAGGCAGAAGAACCGTTTGCTGATTTGGTTTAAAGGTCCCAGATACGAGTTTCGACAGTAATTTGTTTGAGGCCACTCCTGCGCAGCCTGTGAGACCCAGCCTCGCGTGTATGGCTTCCCTGAACTCTTCTGCAATCTGAGATCCAATAACTAGTCTGACGTGCGTCGTATCGTGCAAATTGATGGCTGCAAAGAAAAAGAAAGCGGGGTTCGGTATGGAAACGGTCCCCTAGTAAGCTAATTCTCTAGATTTAGGTATTTTTTACACTGCATTAAAGCAGTAGAAGAAAGCACGGTCTCACGGGTCAAGTGGTATCGCCACGGCTTCTGTATCCAAGTTTAACCTCACTGCTACCTCCCAAAAACCCTGGTAAAAGGGCATGCTGTCCCAAACCAGAGGCATACTGTCCAGGAAGCATAATGTTCAGGGAATATTGAGATATCCCAGATTCTTGCACCAGCGGAACCCAAGCAGAGACCCACCAATGTGTAATTTAGCGGGCTGCCTTGCAGCTAAGCCTTTCTTACTCCCTTGCAAATGCCCAATGAGGAAAAGGACTCTTTGGGCATTTCCCTCCTCCCCAAACCACAGCCAAAGCCACTGCAATAGCTCCGAGTCCAGGACAAACCCAACTGCTTTCCTTCCCAGCGCATGACACAAGGATCACCGCACAGCTCTGTGCACTCACGTCTGCCCATGTACGAAGCAGCTCAGCCACTTCAGTCTCAGCAAGACTATTCCTGACCCAATGGCTACAGCAGAATTTTACTCTTTGTTTTTTACTCATTAAAAAAGCTCATTCAATTTTGCCAATCGACCGCAATGTTCACGCTGAAATAAAATTCTGCGTCTTAGCTCGCCTTGTTGTTTAACTCACCTTGGTTGTTGTACACGTGGCCGGACACACAGACTCTGGAACACCCACTTTGCTGTAGCTGGTTGAGTCTTTTCTCTATGATCTCAGTGACATCCACAAAATTTTCATCAAACCCAAGCCTTTCCACCAGCGGACAAAACTCCCCCAACAACTCTAGGAGGAAAAGATACCCAAGGATAATATACACACAGGTAATAAGGTGAGGTTTTTCACACCTGCATCGATCCACAGCTGATTTCCCATGGATTCAAGTAGGATGCTTGCTAATTGATGCCGGTGCTGGCACATCATTTAATTAAGAGATCCCGGAGAAGTTCACCCAAAGGCTTCAGCAGTCTGTCCTCCATCGCTTCATGTTTGGAAATACTTTACTGCAGTCGGTATTTAAAGAAGAAAAATCTTTCCTCAAGAACTATGTGGGCATAAACCGATCCCATATAACATCAGTTTGATGCATTTACAGCGCCTGACCCAGCAACCAAGTCTAAGAGCTTATTTTGGGCAACACCAACATCAGTATGGTTGTATTAACACCATGGAATAAGGTTCATTCTGATAAAAGCTGGAAAGTGTCATGTATTATTGCAGGCATGTGTACGCACGAGTTTTAACAGAAAGTGTTTGTCCTCTGCTGAAAAATAGTGAATTTTGTACCTGTAACCTTGTAGGACATTTCCCTGTATGGAGTTAGATCTTCTCCATTAACCAGTACCAGCTGGGGACACTTCTCTCTGGCATCCTTGACAGACATCAGTTTCTTAACTCCAAGTTTTCTGGCTTCATAGTTACAGGTAACTACGAGGTATTTCTGTTGCACACCTAAAAATAAAGGTAAAATGCTGTTTGAAGTTTAGGTTGCTCCACTGATCATAGACACCACTGCCCACCTTGCACTCATTCCCAACTTCTGGGTGGAATAAAACGCGCTTGAAGCACGACTGTGTCCAAAAGCTCAGGTTTATCTGTGGAGCTCAGCCCCTCTCTACGCCCACGTACGTTAGAAACCAGCTTCAATCCCCAGAACTGCCCAGACACGTCGGCGAGTGCCTGTGCTTGTGCTCAGGAGGATTTATTCACCTTGGAGTCGCAGCTACGCAGAGTCCCGCCTGCATCTTGCTCACCCTGGATGTGGTTACAGCTCCGCTGCGACTGCCTGGATCTCACCACACAGGTAGGTCTGGAGTTTATTCATGTCCTTAGCTTTTTTTTTGCTGCCTGAATACACATAATCCCCCAATTAACAGCAAAGTAACTCGTACCTAAAGGCTTGTCTCTTAATTCAGGATTACGGATCATTTCTACTTGTGCATAAAAGCAGTCCAAGTCAACGTGCACAATCACTCTGCGTGCTGCGCTTCTTGCCGGGACAGACTTGCTGTGGCCTGCTGCAGGGAAAGAAGAAACAGATTAAAAATTACCAGCTGCCTTACATGTGAGGTCACCTTTTTTTTTTTTTAATTAATCCATACTAATAAACAGATATTACAAGAAGAATATAAAATTTACAAGTTTTACACTAATTCTAGCACTGCATTAATTCTAGGATTACTGAGGAGCTTAAGCCACCCGTAGCAACTCAGCTGACTGCTGAACACTCGTGTTTTTGGAGGGTCAGTTCCATTTGTTTTTCACTAAACTGCTTCAGAACATAGCTTCACCGATCCAATAGCCTTTCACAGTGAACACTGACACTTCTTTTTCATATCTTTCTGTAAAATAATCCGTCTTTAACTGTAAAATAATCAGTTTTAGCAAAGATGGCTCTACCAAATCCCCGCCTTTCCCAGGAGTGGCCAATGAAGGTGGAAATGGCCATCCAACAAAGAGCAAACCCTGCTATGAAAACAAGCCTGACAAGTTAAAAGAAAAAAAAAAGGCAAAATAATGAAAAAATAAAGCTTTTATTTCTCTAAACTGAAAAAAAAACCCCACGATAAAGTGACATAGTCAAAGGAAGCCTCGGTCTATCTCTGCAGGCTGTTTTCAGGGTGGTGTTTTAATGTCTACCGAGGTCTCTCGTTCTAAGCGGCAAAGCGAAGCGATTACCATCAGGATCCCCGAAATAATTAAGAAACAAACCCAAACCGCAGCGTTATGGCTGCCGAGGAGAGGCTCTCCCCTCCTCACGGCACCCGGAAGGCAGGGACACGGCCGGGCTCGGCCGCACCGCCCCCGCTCCCCCGCAGCCCCACGCTTGGG